TAATTCAACTCAAATGCATGCTTTTTGGTTCTCATGTGACATGCCATATTTCAGGTGGTGTTATATTGTATGTATCTATATAATGGTGCATGGTTACAAATTATTGCCACTGTACATTTTTCTGCCTATTAGTTTTATTTAATTTTTTTTATTGTTGAAGAGTGGTTATGTTTATAGGGTTAAGAGATGTGCAATACTGTATACCTATAAAACTGTTAAAGGGGTCATATGATGCTGCTAAAAAGAACATTATGCTAAATAAATATAATTGTGATGTTTTGTAAATATTTAACGTTTCTACTGTTTACTTTTTAGATGCTGTCAGTCCTTCCATATTTTAGCTTTCAGCATCCTCCCCAATTTACATATTAGGGTACAACAACAATATACATAAAAAAAATTCATTCATTCAAAAAGTATGTTTTTGTACCTGGCTACAAATAAATACCTACGTATAAACAATGAGACTAGACTGAATAATTCTCTATGCAATGCAGCTTTCCAAGTACAAAAGCCCTACCTTGTGTTTCAATGTGAGATGAATAACTTCCAGTGACATTAAACTGATCTGAAAGTAGTTCAAATGAGGGCAACTGAATTCAGATTAATCTTCCTGTTGGGTGAGTATTTATCCCAGATCAGGAAGAATATATTGTCTCACTTTGTGAACTGGTTTTCTTTTTTTGACAGATGTGTCCGAATGGTTCTGCATTTCTACCCACAGCTGTTCACTGTGCACAATCGATTCAAAACTTTCCCAAACTAATGATACTACAGGCCATCGACTTACCCAAAGACCTTAACAAAGCAGTTCATGCTCACTGTAGAGGTAAGAATAATGGTAAACCTTAAAATTTAATGTGAATAATGTAGCTGCTAACATATGGAAATCATTTGCATATGCATTTACTGCAAGCACTTTTTTTGGTAAAATAGTTTTCTGTTCTATTCCCTTCACTCAGCATGTACAACAACAGTTGTTTTCAGCATTTTTACTCATGACAGACTGGCAAGAAGATTGGTTAAAATGGTTGACAGACCAGCTACACAATACTGCATTGACCACAAGCCACTGCAGGTCAATTTCAAGCTAATTTACTTTGTGACCTCCGCTGGCTCACATGAATACTGCTTACATTGTACACCGGCAAAGAAAGGTTCTTTCTCATTGGCTGACCGGTATGAGCAATGAGAACCGAGATCAGATAAGAGCGGACGGCTCGAAGGAAATAGGGAGGGGACAAAAAGTAGATCAGATTAAACAGGGGCCTAATTTGCAGACCAACATCAAACAAGAGATTTTACCAGTGGAAAGGAGATAGACACATTCTGAGCTCCTTTATCGCAACATGAAAACATACATTTGAGAACAGAGTTTAAAGCAAATGTGCCCACAGTCACAGATTTCAATTCTTTATAAGCCAAAATATAAGCATTAAGAATACTGAAGACAAGCTAAATGTTTTGAGAAGAAAAGTTGGGGCATTTAGAGCTGAGTTCCTCCAAACACATGTGTTTTAAGATTTAAGTCTGACAGCTTTACAACAGCCCTACAATAAAGAAACAGACACTGAGAACAACATGCAAACTTTGTGACATTTTTAGGCAGCTCAAAATGGTCTACACGAAGAAATGGGTGAAGTGTCTCCAAAGTGTCCAAGCAACCATTAAAACAATGGCGATCAGATTGCCAGAAATATCCAAACATGACAAAAAAAGTACCACAGAACCAATGACATGGCTGTGTGTGAAACTTATGTATAACTTTTGTATACTCACATGTTTCTGTATATTCAGATATGAAATTTCAAGACATGTAACACCAGGTTTGATGCCATGATGCCAAATTTCTTTGACTATTGTGTATTAATTGATCATACTTTGTCACATTTAAATATAAAGCATATTCAATCAATAAAACTGATAAGCTACAGTGGAAGATTTGCAGTGAAAAAAAAAATCAAGTCTGTTCCTCACTTTTGTATGAAGACTTATAATACAGCACACGGGTCACAGAGACTACTTTTACGCTGTTTTTTTGTGACTTTGGGGAGCTTTACAGCCCCTGGTGCACGAGTAACGAAAAAAAAAACTTTTGTATTCCATGAAAGATAATTATCCACCTTCTTCCCAATGAGCCTATAGCATTTTAAATGATGGGAGGCACTTCTGGTTTGGGGACGGTCCACTCAAAATGACTGAAACAAATCATTTTAATTCATAAGGTAGTGCTACAAATAATCCTTCTCTGTCAGTTTGACTGAATGAGCTGTTCATTGTCCTTCATGTTCTATTTTCAGAAGTCAGGAGAATAACGCAACTCTATTTTAATGTGACATAATATAACAAGAATATCTATGGCAAGAGCTATTTTCAGTCTGCTGAAACAATATGAAAAAAGACAACAATATATCCCATGAATAATGAACTAGAATGCACTAAAAATCTCTTGTTTTTTCTTCCAAAATCCTGTCGTCTCTTTCCAGGTTTGTTTGAACACTGATGCTTTCAAATGTAATTGTTACGTAGACATATATTACTACAATGATATTTAACATGTCCTTAATGTTGCTGCGGACAGAATCTAGCTTTAGGAGTTATGGTATGTTGAATGTAATTCGTTAATGCTTTTACACTTTTAAATTTCCTTTTAATGTTATGGTTGAAGGGCGAGTAGAATAATCTCACCCCATTGTACTCAGTTTTTGAAAATGTTTATTATTGTGTTCATGGAGCAAAACTTCTGCTTATTATTTACTGTTTAACGGAAGTTACTTCCATTATTCATGCAAAGCGTCATGGGGTGAAGGAAAAAGGTGGATATGGGTTTAGAACAGCATAAGTAAATAATGACAGAATGTACTTTTTTTGGATTTGACATTTTTTGGGTTAGTCCTATCCCTGGATTCAGGACGACTGCCAAACAAGGTCTGGAAAACAATGACTGGATCCGTTCCTATAAATATTTTTACTAAGATCAGAACTGACAAGAGTGCTTGAATAAGACTAACACTAAAGCATTATTATCTACATCATACACAAGAAATGCACCAATGAAACGTTTGGACACACTCGACAAAATGCATGCTTTGAATGATCTTCAAAGAGCTTTTGATCTGAACTCATATATTTGAAATTAGTTTTGTAGAAAAATAAGCATATGCATTTTAATACGTTGGACCAGATAGTGAAGGAAAAGTAGTCAACAAGTGTCCAGCATGAATCGAAACTCCAACACTTTCCTTTGCATTTGCATTTAAAGTTCACGAGAAAACCTAAACACTAATTTAAAGTTAGAATCATGAGTGATAACTTCACATTTAAACTATTTTAAGCATCTATAATTAACCAAAGAAGCAGAAACACAACACAGGATTGTGATGTGCTCAGCACTTATCTGTCAAAAGGAGTCGCTGGTTAAAGGTCCAACAATAACGTTTTTTTCTGTCCAGCAGCTGTTGTGAAGGTCAGAGGTCACGTATACTGTCAGCGAACAGATGCTACTGACCACACACCTGATTTATTCCACCTACACTGAGTCTTACACCCATTTACTTGATTAAAAAAGCTCCTCTGCTGTCAGACGCAAGGTTGTTCTAAAGGACAGAGCAGCCAGACATCCTCTGTCCTCTGATTAAAATGGGTACAAGGGTGTCACTGCATCCAATGAATCAATGCAGACTGTTTCCTGAAATATTGACATTTCAAAGGAACATGTCAGCTTTAGGAAGCTTTTGTGTGTGTGTGTTTCTCTCACTCATGTTTTCCATTTGTGTCCAATATGTACCCTAGTTATACAGTAAAAGGAGAAATGTCTGTAGATACAGTATACAGTCATTCTGTACTGTATAGTTAGTCCAGATAAACACCATGGCCTGTGTTTAAATACTGGATAGCGGTTAGATGCATTTACCTAAGAAAACAGATGAGCAAATCCATTACATAGTCATGTAAGCTGTTTACTTGCTCAAAGTACTTCTTTTTGTTTATTTCTCATTTCATTGCTTATTTACACAATGCCTATGATTTGAAAACTAATTCTAAGAATCATATTTTTCAAAGTCCAAATCACGTTCTGGTCACACTTTATTTTGAAGTCCAATTCTTACTATTAACAAACCATTAACTATGACTTTTGACTCAATAAACTCCTCCTAATTTGCTGCTTATTAATAGTAAGGTAGTTGTTAAATTTAGGTATTGGGTAGGATTAGGGATAGGGTCATGCAGAATGTGTGCTTTATAAGTACAAATAAACAGTCAATATGTTAATAATAGGCATGCTAATAATAGTGAGAATGGTTTAACTAGAAAAGTGTTACCCAGGTTCCACATGAAATGTACAGCGTGAGCTCGAGATTTTAATGTAAAATGACACTTTCAAACGTTCTATGCGTCATCGTTCCATTTTTCATTTGGTCTTAGATTAAGAAATACAACTGTGGAAATTAAATAATGATAATATTAATAATAAAATCAATACTTTTAAAATAATAATAATAACAATAATCACTTTAAATAAACCCCTCGACTCAAAACAAAATAAATAAAATAAAAATAAATAAATAATAATAATAAAAATAGTATAGAGGCACAAAATGCTAAGAAAGATTATTCTCCCTAGCAACATGTGTAGATGTGCTGCTGCTTTCATATTGATAAAAAACAGATGGAACATAAAACGAAACAACAGATAAAGCGTCAGTCGAACATTTTCCCCCCCTGTTGTGTGCTAGAAATGACAAAAAACAAGTAAATAGCCAGTAATGAGAGGCTTTAGGAGTAACCTAACAGAAGAACAACATATTTTTATAAAGCACCTAAAATATCTGCGAGACGGACCGTTACTCGAGCCACACAAGCAACTTTACCACACATTTCTCGCTTTAAATCACACTCACGTCTGATTTAAACACCACTTTACCATTTTCTATCAAATAAAACCCCGATGAAAACTGCGTCCTTTCATTCGGCGGACAGCATTGAGACGGTAACTTTACCTTATGGCTTTTATGACTAGTTTTCTCTCTTCACTTTCGAAGCCTCATAGGGGTCTTTTGTCAACGTGTATCCTTCTCTTTCTCTTTAACCCTAAACGAGCTTCTCTTAAATCCTTCAGTCAAAACAAATCACGCCAAACAATCCATTCTGCGTCCGTCCGCTGTGAAATGAACCATTCCACAAAGTCCTCTGGCCGCGTTTATCGTCTACGGGTTTGCATTGGAACGAAGAAGAGCTGCTGAACGCTGGATGAAAAACTATGAGGTCAGCAGACGCTCACACAGGCCCCGCCCCTACAAGAAATACCTCCTGACGTCATCAGCAATGCCTTATGACGCCACGAGCCCTCTCAGTCCAACACTCAATAAAACAGTGCGTTTGCCTCAGTCATTTGGTCTTTAAGTACTAAATAACTAATCATCATTAAGTAATCCATTTTATTAAGTGACATGAGTGCTTTTTTTTCACAAAAACATAATTTACCACTTTATTTTCGAAAATATTATCCAAACACATGTTGTGGTACTCTAGTTGAAAAAACCAGCATATGCTGGTTAGGTATGTTTTGACGCTGGGATGCTGGTTTAAGCTGCTCCTTTGCTGGTTTGTGCTGGTCCTTTGCTGGTTTGTGCTGGTTTGTGCTGGCCCTTTGCTGGTTTTAGCTGGTCCTTTGCTGGTTTGTGCTGGTTTGTGCTGGCCCTTTGCTGGGCTGGTCCTTTGCTGGTTTTAGCTGGTCCTTTGCTGGTTTAAGCTGGTCCTTTTCTGGTTTGTGCTGGTCCTTTGCTGGTTTGTGCTGGTCCTTTGCTGGGTTGTGCTGGCCCTTTGCTGGTTTTAGCTGGTCCTTTGCTGGTTTAAGCTGGTCCTTTGCTGGTTTAAGCTGGTCCTTTGCTGGTTTAAGCTGGTCCTTTGCTGGTTTGTGCTGGTCCTTTGCTGGTTTAAACTGGCCCGTTGCTGGTTTAAGATGGTTCTTTGCTGGTTTATGCTGGTCCTTTGCTGGTTTTAGCTGGTCCTTTGTTGGTTTATGCTGGTCCTTTGCTGGTTTGTTGGTAAACCAGCAAAGGACCAGCTTAAACCCAGCATCCCAGCGTCAAAACATACCTAACCAGCATATGCTGGTTTTTTCAACAGGGTGAACACTCACTCATGTGCGTTGTGTTGACGCCAGTCTTCTATGGCATGAACACAATACAAATACATTTTAATGCTCTCGTTAACACACAGTGCAAACAAAGCACTCTGTTGCTTAATAAAATTGAGGTTATACCACTGAAGTCACAGGGAGTGCTTTAACCATGTCTTTCCTACCGTTCTGGGCTTTGATTGTGTAAGTTGTGTTGCTGCCTATAGAGGGAAAGCTCTCGGATTTCATCAGAAATATCTCTATTTGTGTTCGGAAGAGGAAAGAAGGTCTTACAGGTGTGAAATGACATGAGGGTGAGTAATTGATGACAGAATTTCCATTTTTGGGTGAAATAAACCTTTAATTCGTCCATGGTTCCAACTGGAAAAAAATGAAAGAAGCTGTTTTGGTGCTCAGTGCAAACGGGCTAAGTATGTATTAAAATATTTAGTATCAGCTATTGCTCACTGAATGCTATTTCAGGACATAAGCTGCTCTAGAACTTTACTTGCTAGCTGACAAGTGACATTAGCTTGCTTGGCAAAAGTTAGCTACTTGTTTCGATAGACAAACTGACATTTTTCAAGTATTAAATTAAAATTGCAGATAAATATCAGATAATACTAAATACAAATGTAGTAAATTCAATATCATGTCTTGTCTTTTTTATTATAACTGTATTAATGGTACAATTTTAGCATGTATACGTTTTTTTTTCTACACCAAATAATAAAACGTTGATTCGTATTAGTATATGAGTTTTGATGGACACTGCTAAAATTGACTCTCTCTATAAAAATACATCTTTAAATAAAGAATAACTTCTAAAGAAAAGGGAATAAAGAAGAGAAGTGAAAGTCTAAGGGGAAAGAACTGACACAGAGAGATATTAAAAAAAGAGCTTCAAATCTGGTTTGAAACCAGGCTTCATGTTGAAAGTATTGGGTGGCTGCATTATTAAAAGGAATGATGGAAAAAGATCCTGTATTATGTGCAAAAAACAGACCCAGAAAACCTTGGTTGCTATGATTACATAAGCAGAAGAAAAAGAGACGCCCAAAAGAGGCAATGCAGCGTTCGCAATGAATTCCTGCCTGAATACTGAAATACTTTTTTCATTACACCATCAGGCAGAATGAACTGAAATAAATTGTTTTAGATTTTAGGACCAATAGGTTCTTACTATCACATGACTGATATAATAAATGATCATTTATTCAACTTTATTACAAGTAGGATCTAACAAATTTTTATATGAAATTCTTCAGTGTACTGACGCAGTTTACCATAGTACAAACTGCCTTAAAATACAACAGCTCAATATACTATTTATCATCTATCGTGTCCATAATGATGTTTTAAATTCGAGATAATAGAGCTTTTAAGGGTTATTGTGTTATTGTGAATACAACACTGGCCTCTAGTGTTCATTAATGTGAGTTACACGATCATGACAATGTGGCATGTGACTTACAATTTATATGAAAATTACTATTTTTATTAGAAGATTATTCTGTTTCTGCTACATAATAAACATATTAAATATGTGACAATGGTGTTTTTTCGGTTTTGTTTTTGTTTAAATAAAGTAAGCATTTTTAATAGCTAGCTAGACATTAAAAAAGTCAGATATTAAGCTTAAATAGGCCTAAATAAATCAATAAATCATCATCATCATCATCATCAAAACCACTAAAACCTTGGAATGATATAGGCCTACCTTAAAACAATATATGTCATTTTAAAAAGGATGTAAAATTACTTAAATTTAAGTAAATTTACTTATATTTTTTTTTGCGATTTTTTACATGAAAAAACGTAAAACTTTGAGGAAACCCATATATTTCCCATGCTTCTGTGTGTGTGTCTGTCTGTTTGTTGGCCCCTGAGCAAAGAACTAATAGATTTCAGAGCAAAGCTTGTGTAACCCGAGCTGGCATATATATGTTTCCCCTTCGGGAACTCGAGCTGCGTCGGAAAACGCTAGGGGAACGCCTTCAGCGATACCAAGCTCTGAATCATATGTGTAATCAGTTGAACGATGGGCGAGACGTCAGCGGCGGGTGACGTCATGACCAGGAAGCTTTAAAAGCACGTGAGGTGCAGCCGGCGCTAGCTTTTCTGTCATTCAACAAAGCTCTCTGTGTGTGTCGGTCACGATTTATGTTCTGTGAGTCTTATTTATTGTTGTCTGTCCAAAAGTGCACAAGCTTTCTGTGGCTCCTTCCTATCTCGACTTTGCGCCCGGCCTGGCTAAAGCTTTTTTATACCCTCGGGCGGGGTATGTCCCTAAGGTCCCCTCCTCTACACCACGGCCTGTCGTTAAATAGCAGTTTCTCATTGTGGCCACTTACCCTTGTGAAAAAGAAGTACACTTTAACATACTTTAAAAATGAGTAATATACTTTAAAAGAATGTACTTAAGTACAAACTGAATGTAATGTTTTCAGACTCGCAATTAAATTAAAATATAGTGTACATATAAGTAACACATTAGTGCACTTCTTTAAAGCACGACAAAAGATTAAAACATAATGATTTTAATAACCTTTAATTTGACATTATCACAAATTTCTCTTGAAAGTGTCTCCCTTTAAGTGCACTTAAGTGGCCATTTATTTCATTAATATTATGGTTACACTTTATTTTAAGGTAATGTTGTTGCAGTGTAATTACACAACTAAGTACTGAGTATTATTAGGTTATGGTTTGGTTTAGGGTTAGTTACTTAATAATTTACACTTATTACTAAAGTAAGTACATGTAAGGCGTAACTACGTCACTTTGAAATAAAGTATCTTTTCTGGGTCACATTTTAGTTTAGGGACCAATTCTCACTATTAGCCAACAACTTCTGCCACGATAAACTCTTTAATTTGCTGCTTATTAATAGTTAGTACGGTAGCTGATGAGTTTAGGTATTGGGTGGATTAAGAGATCTAGATTCATACAGAATAAGGCATTAATATGTGCTCTATAAGTACTAATAAACAGGCAATATGCTATGCATGCTAATAAGCTACTAGTTAATAGTGAGAATTGGTTTCTAAACGAATGCATTACCATTTTCTGTAATATACGTCAGTACAGCTTTTTAAAAATATACTTTTAAGATTTGAAGTTGACTTTTTCATGACATGACATGCCCCGCTAAAATATCAAGCTTGTTCATTAAACTGTCTTTTTCCTGAAATATCAGTAAAATGCTCAAAAGCATTTTAAAGCATGTGTCTACACAGTAATTAACTTTCAGCCCTGAGAAATATTCACTGGAGCTCTTCAGTGATTACATATGCTCGTTATTACTTGAATTAATAAGCATTTATGTAATATAACTAATCAAATAATTAACACAATACACACTAGAGTAAGTTCACAGACATTGCTATTAGAGTCCCTCTGGTTAGAAATATACTGATATTGCTGGTGGACGGTGGACACTTTTGTGTCTCATTTGAATACTTCCAGTTCTTCTTTTGTGTAAAATAAGCCCTCAAAACCACAAAAAGTGTACATTTATATTATGTAAATATGTCAAAAGTACAGTGCTTCTCTTGTTATCAAGTTGCTGAACATCGCCCTCTGCTGTCCTGTCTTTACACCTGCATGCTCTTTGCATGTCATCTATAGTTAAAAAAAGAACAAAAGAAAAATAACTTATAAAAAGAGCAAAAGTTTCGGAACATATTTATTGGAGCTGAATCTTTGGAATATGTCAGTCGATCTGATTCGATCAGAGACAGAGCAGATGTGGAGGAGATTTTCTTTCCTGATGCAGATGTTCAAATACAAACCATTGATATCCATTTTAAGGCCTTGCTGTTTTTTATTCATTTTTTCCTTCCTACAACAGCAACGTACAGAGGCAGTATTGAAAATAAAAGTTTTCTTTGCTTCTGCATCTTCTTGTAAAAAAAAAGAAAATGAAAAAGAAACAAATCGGCACAAAATTTCAACGACAGTACAAAAAGCAAAAGATAACCAGGGTCAGGTAAACGGGAGCTTTACTATAGGAAATCTGTATATCTTTTTCAATAATGAAAACATCTTGATAATTGACCATTTCAGAATCGTATTACATATTCTGAAACTATATAAAAAAATGAACACTGTCTTTTTTATTTCAGTTGTCTTTTTTACAAATGAATGCTATAAACACATAAACTTCATCAAATATATTGATCAGTGCAACATTGTTTCTTTTTCGTTAATGCTACAGTATGCTTTCTCACAGAATCCCGACTGAAGCCAGTCGCCTTTATCCAGCTTCAGCTGACACACATGTAGCATCGACACGAGGATTCATGTCATCGGAAACTACCGGAAAGAAACGGGAAAACAACAGTATACAGCACAGTACATGAACATACCCAGAAACCTGTAGAATACATTAGTATTGTCAGCAGTGAAGCCCTGTTATCGGTTAAACTACGTGTGTACGGCATTGCTAAAATCAGACCCATCCAGCGGTCCAGAATCCAAGCCGTCGACCCAATGACAATGAGATGAGATGGTCTCCAGACGTCTCAAGAGAATGGGTTGTTGCGATTGGACCCTGCAGTTTGAGGCAACAGTCCTTTGGTACAGACACAAGGCCAATGACAGAACGCTTGCGAAGCGATGCGTGAGAACTTTTAATAGCACCACTCTTAAAATGAGAGTTTTATTCAAGAGCACATGCATTCAAGCTCGACGGATGGTGAAAGAAGCGCTTTGATGAAACCTCAAATCAAAGCAATCAAGGCAATGACGATCATCAAATTTGTTTTTTTTGGTATGCTGGATAAACAGACATTCTGAATGTGATTATAGAGGATATGATGATTATAAATCTGTAATCCAGGTGAATAAAACTCGCCTATGAAATGCATTTATGTTCCCATGATGAAATGCGCGCTGGATTTGTATCTGTTTTGAACAAGGGCTGCATCTTTTGGGAGCGTAGCAAAACAACCAAACAGGACGGAAAAAGCACACGTTTCACTTTCACAAAACAGTCAGACGATTGTATTTACAACATACAACCCACGAAAAAAGGGATACTGCAGCTTTCTTTTTTGTCCTTTTACTCGTTTCTTTGAAAAGGGCATTAAAATATATTAAAACGTATGTACAATATGCAGGATTTCAACATTAAAGCGCTATGAATTTACCGGGATTTGTTTTGCAGATTCGACCGACAGCTTTTTCTAGAACTAAAGGGTTGAAAACACCAAGAAAACAACAGAGGAGGCCAAAAAAGATGTACCAAAGGCACTGACTGAACCATACCCAGAATGCAACAGGGCTGGATGATTTTCCACCCCGTTTGATTCTTGCCCTACCTTGGGGTATTAACCTTCCCTTGGCCGTATATGGTTCATTTATTTTTTTTACACATCTCCTTAAAGCGCAAAACAATCTTTTAAAATAAAAATAAATGATTTGTTTTTCCTCCTACCAAAAAAAAAAAAAAAAAAGATAAATACTTTATAACATTATTATATATTGGTCTCAACACCAGCATCGGATTGTAAAAATGATCAACCAAAAATAATACGAAATAAAAAATTAAAATAATAATTTCAATCATATGTACATATTCTTATTTTTCATGATGTTTTGTTTTTTCCTTGTATTCAATGTTTTGTACACAGTGTCCCCTACTGGTAGGTTCCGTTCACTGCAGCTCCTGAGAAAAGCATGGCTCAGTCCCAGACCTCCCATTGGTTCGCTGAACCACAGAGCCTTGTCCTCCTCCAACCGGAAGGCATCGGCAGTCCATTTTAGCCCCGCCCTCCCTGAGGAGAGGTTCCCTCTGATTGGTCGGCGCCTCACGCTTCTGAGTACGTGTTCTGTGAGTTGAGCTTGTCCTTCTTTAACTTGACGCCGTCCACTAGCTCAAAGTTATAGTTTTCCAGGGCGGATAAGTTCCTGTCGGACATGGCGCTGTGGGAGCAGGCGCAGTAGAGGACCACGCCGCAGATGGCGCCGAGGAAGACCCCCAGCGCGCTCATGGCGATGATGGTGATGAGGATGGGGTCCAGCGTCTTCAGCATGTTTCCGGCGCCGCTGATCTCGTGGTTCTCCACAATCTCAGGGAAGTCTGTGATGTCCACGACTGGAAGAGAACAGATCAGCAAGCCTGTTTTAGATATTGCTTTTGGATTTTATGCAGTCAAACCAAAAATGATATATATATATATATATTTTTTTTTTTTTACTAGTGGGTGCAGGACACTACAGTCACTAATTTTGAGAGTGTTCCAACATTTATTCAGCATTTGCATGCATTATATTTGAGAAAGCCACTTACTGATTTCATTGAAGCTGTCCTCAGGTAGAATTGGCTCTGCTGGGACATCTGGGTCTATAAAAGGGCAACATAAAACAGTCAGGAAATGTATATTAAATTCATTGGTAATAAAGTGTAAACCCAGTTATTAAAGTAAGAAAATTCTGGAATTTTTAAATGTAATTATTTTAATGATTGGTAAATATGTTATTTAAATATTTTAATACATAGATCTTAGTCAGCGTAGCACCATATTTAATATTTGAAGGGAATGAAAACAAGGCTGTGAGTGGTTGAAAAAAATAAAATAAAATAACATAAAAACTCTATAAAACTGTTGAAAGTTAGGAGTTGTGAAAATGACATGATCTAGGACTTTCATACAGTGTGCAAAACTGTGCGTTTGTCCTTCACAGACTCATTTTCATTTTCATTCGCATTCAATTCAATATGGCATCTAACCTGACTCCAAGTGTCTGTACATAAAAAATGTTCGAAAATGAGCAGCTTTGTCATTACAGCAGTAGTAGCAGAAATATCCAAAACCATAGGATGTATGACACAGTCTTAATTCATCTCAGTGTATTTTGCACTATAATGGGTTAACTGACTCACCCTTGCAGTCAGCCATGTTCAGATTGTCTAAGATTTTGATGTCATCCACAGCAATGTCTCCCCAACTCTTCCTCTCCACTACGCTTTCAATTACCACCTGAAATAAAGACAAACACCAACATTAAATTTGAACTATATGTGACCCTGGACCACAAAATTAGTCATATTGGTAGCAATAGCCAATGATACATTGTATGGGTCAAAATTATCGATTTTTCTTTTATGCCAAAAATCATTAGGATATTAAGTAAAGATCATGTTCCATGATATCTGGTAAATTTCCTACCGAGAATATATAAAAACTTCATTTATGATTAGTAATATGCATCGCTAAAGATTTTATTTGGACAACTTTAAAGGCGATTTTATCAATATTTAGATTTTTTTGCACCCTCAGATTCCAGATATTCAAATAGTTGTATCTCAGCCAAATATTGTCCTATCCTAACAAACCTCCCTGATCCGCCTACAGCAGACGGAGAGAAAGGATGTGAGGCTCGGATGTTTCACACTTTCCGTGCTGTGAGGCCAATGGGTGCAGTTTTTTTCTTACCAGTGTGGTCCATGTTTGGGCCGGTGTTTAGAGTCGGGGTGCCGCTGGACTGGATCTGCCACCTGAAACCGCTGTCCTCTGACATCCAGCCACAGAAAGAAGGATCACTGGCCCAGCCAAAGTCACAGGCAAACCACAGGAACGCTACAGAGAGAACACACACACAAACACACAGGGAAAGATTATTAACATATACACTATTTGATTTCATATTACTAAAGCAGTGACACACACACACACACACACACACACACAGAATATTATATATTTTAGAATTATTACTTTTTATATTTAATAACAAAATTAATATTGCTATGATTTATATTTTGGAAAGGTTACCTTTTATATTTAATAATAATACTATGATATTATTTACATTAATGCATTTTAATATAGTACAATAAATATAATATATGAGTAAACATGATGAAAAAATTATGTACACCACCATTCAAAGGTTTGGGCTTGCAAAGATTTTTTTATGTATTTGAAAGTAGTCTCTTTTCCTCACCAAAGCTGCATTTATTTGATTAAAAATACAGTAAAACAGTGAAATGTTATTACATTTTAAACTAACTATTTTCTATGTGAATATCTGTTAAAATGTAATTTATTTCTGTGATCAAAGCTGTATTTCCAGCATCATTACTCCAGTCTTCAGTGTCACATGATCTTCAGAAATCATTCTAATATGCTGATTATTATCAATGTTGAATGAAGTTGTGCTGCACAATATTTTTGTGGAAACCGTGACACATTATATTTTTCAGAAAAAAAGGTACAAAAGCTGTCACTGGGATGGTACCTTTTCAAAATGTACGTTTTGTACCTTATTTACTCCTAAAAGATGCATATTATTACTTTAAATGTTCATATTCATATCTAAAGAGTACATTTTAGTACCTTTTGTAAGTGACAGCTTTTGTACCTTTTTTTCTGAGAGTGAAACAGAATCTTTTGTAACATTATAAATGCCTATATTGTCACTTTTGATTAATTTAATAAAACCTTGCTGAATAAAGGTATTCATTTTTTTTTAACAGTAGTGTATACCATTTGAATGTTTTGAAGCTACTGTGTGATTGATTGGACTACACAAATCTCCAAACTACATGCTTTATATCTACTGTCCACTTGATGGCAACAAAGAGTTATTTTACAAGCAGAAAACACCATCATTTAAGCATGAGCATTTCTAAATCCATTCCAAATTCAGTCGTGCCTAAGCCAAATCCACATTTATACACCAAATATAGCTAGATCTTGAGCGAGAATACAGAGCACACCAAACAATGAAGCTTTGAAACTGAGATTGACATTAAAGAAGGAGGGAGGGATTTAACGAAGTTAGATTGAGTGAGAGATAGAAAGCCACAGAGAGAGACAGCATGAAGAGCAGAGAGAATTGAGACGGACAGAAAAGCAGAAGCATGTCTAGGATGTCAGCTATGCCTGCACAGTCTCAGACTTTTCTAGACAGTTTAATAAAGCCAAGCGCTCCGCTCCCTTAATAATGCCAGGATTCTCCACGAGCTTCACATGGTATTTGCTCACTGAATGCAAAGGAAAGAATTTCCCATTAAAAGCCGCAGCTCAGGCATGCAGCCACTGCCGCTACAAAAAAATGCCAGTTTCCAATTAAAAGTTATTTCTTCTTTACCATCTTTAAATGGATTGGGGCTGTTGCAGTGTAGGACAGTGCAAGGATACGTTTCACCGCAGTCCAGAACGTTCTACCAGTTTTGAATGCTTGTCATAGCAAATAAACCACATCCAATAATAGAAAGCGCACACATCTATTCAATGTTAACCAACCAAGACCACACACACACAAGGACACATGCTTATTAGGACCTTCAATCTATTCAGTTGTGTTGCTGTTTTGCTGTTGTGATGAGGCTCAGACAGGGCCAAACACACACACACAAACTGGCTAATTAGACAAGGTCAGTTAAGGGGCATTTCTCATTTGCCCATTAGTGAGCAGTCTTGAATGGCTAATCAGTCATTACGCTGAATTAGCAAATCAGAGGGGCTCTTTATAGATTTTCACAAGAACACTTCAGAAACGAGATTACATACTCATCTTTGAGTTTACACACTTATAATCAAATGGCCTCAACAACCAAATAGAGAACTAAGAAAACATACAATAAGAATGTTCTTTCTTAAAGGTGCAGTGCGTAATTTCTGTGCTGCTAGCGACACCAAATGTAACTGCAAAAATTTTTCTGAAGAAAATTGCTTACTGGCCCTCATCAAATAGAGTGCATCATTTTTTTTCTCTTGTTCAGAAAAACAGGTAATCCTGCATGAAACTCATAAACAAATATTTTAAATGTGCCCATTATTTGGGGAAATGAGCTACAATTGGCTTACTTAGAGTTGTCTGTGCACATTGAACTGGGATAGGAGAAAGTATGCTAACACTGCAAAAATGACACGCCGCACCTTTAAGGGAGTATGCATTAGCACAATCCTGGATAATTAAAGAAATTACGGATAGAATTAGAGGTAAGTACCTTTCTCACCTGGAACGGTGCTCGTCTCTGTGGTCGTCTCTGGCGCAGCGGTTCCACCTGTAGTGTGGACACAGAGAAGGCCATTAGATGAAAACTTAAAGTGAGACACTATATTATTATCAGGAGGTAAGGATCTGACTGTGCTAATTCCCCTCTTTGTATTTGCTTAGCATTTTTAAAACGAGCTTTGCCGGATGAGACATGCAAATATGTTCAGAAACGTTGGAACCTTTACTTTAAGCATTTAGCAGAGGTGAGTGTAATTCTGTGCAACACACACTCTGTGAGACTGCACTGAAGTGAACACAGAGGAGATTAGAGGCAGAATTTATAATGCAGTGTTAGTATTAGCAGCTGGAGAGCAGAAGAAATTTTAATAGTCACACATGAACTAGGTTGGAATGGAGTATTATATCACTGTATACTACATACAGTGTGGTAGTGTTACTGTTTAATACCATTTTTTTTTTCTCGCGGAGTGTCTATTTACACTAAGTGCAAATAGCCCACCTTGTTGGCAGAAGCTATTTACACAAACTCCGCCCACCAACGGTTGGTCTACTCAACACTACAAAAGACGATTGTATAAAATCAGCTCCAGTGGCGTAGATTGGAAAAGCATGTGCCAAAGTCATTTTCGACCCGAGTTCGAATCCACCTTTTGCCAACCTATTTTTTTCTCCCTATTTCAAATCTCATATCACATCGGAAAGGCATTTATTTTCAATAAAAATGAAGGAAATAATCGAAAAGTTTATCGAAAAGTTTAAGAGGGCTTATCTTATCCCAATAAGGTGGCATCCATTTAATAATTTGAATTCAAATGATTATTTACACTCAATACGTTATTATTGCATACTATTTTATAATGTACTACAATACTGAGGTGCAGATAATTGCTACTATTTGCAATAAGTAGTATAAAGGCAGAAAATACTGCTATTTTCACTTAGTGTAAATAGAATCCATTGCTATTTGCACTTAGTGTAAATAGCATTTATCACTAAGAAAATATGCTATTTTCACTAAAAAAATTGCAGCGGCTATTTACACTAATTGTATGTAAAACAGTATGAATTATGGAATGGAATCAGGGGTGGACTGGGGCCAAAAAGTGGCCCTGGGTTTTTTGGCACAGAGCGGCTCACCAAACCCGGTCCGCAACACACCGCACCACACCATAAATGACTGCCATTCTTTTTGCATTATAGTTTGTCTTTCCTGGTGTATATGGCAAATAGTAAATAATTTTAAATAATGTTTACGAGGGACAGTTTAATATCAATAAAGTTAAATACCTACAGGTGCATCTCAATAAATTAGAATGTCGTGGAAAAGTTCATTTATTTCAGTAATTCAACTAAAATTGTGAAACTCGTGTATTAAATAAATTCAATGCACACAGACTGAAGTAGTTTAAGTCTTTGGTTCTTTTAATTGTGATGATTTTGGCTCACATTTAACAAAAACCCACCAACTCACTATCTCAACAAATTAGAATACTCCATAAGACCAATAAAAAAAACATTTCTAGTGAATTGTTGGCCTTCTGGAAAGCATGTTCATTTACTGTACATGTACTCAATAACTTGGTAGGGTCTCCTTCTGCTTTAATTACTGCCTCAATTCGGCGTAGCATGGAGGTGATCAGTTTGTGGCACTACTGAGGTGGTATGGAAGCCCAGGTTTCTTTGACAGTGGCCTTCAGCTCATCTGCATTTTTTGGTCTCTTGTTTCTCATTTTCCTCTTGACAATACCCCATAGATTCTCTATGGGGTTCAGGTCTGGTGAGTTTGCTGGCCAGTCAAGCACACCAACACCATGGTCATTTAACCAACTTTTGGTGCTTTTGGCAGTGTGAGCAGGTGCCAAATCCTGCTGGAAAATGAAATCAGCATCTTCAAAAAGCTGATCAGCAGAAGGAAGCATGAAGTGCTCCAAAATTTCTTGGTAAACGGGTGCAGTGACGTTGGTTTTCAAAAAACACAATGGACCAACACCAGCAGATGACATTGCACCCCAAATCATCACAGACTGTGGAAACTTAACACTGGACTTCAAGCAACTTGGGCTATGAGCTTCTCCACCCTTCCTCCAGACTCTAGGACCTTGGTTTCCAAATGAAATACAAAACTTGCTCTCATCTGAAAAAAGGACTTTGGACCACTGGGCAACAGTCCAGTTCTTCTTCTCCTTAGCCCAGGTAAGACGCCTCTGACGTTGTCTGTGGTTCAGGAGTGGCTTAACAAGAGGAATACGACAACTGTAGCCAAATTCCTTGACACGTCTGTGTGTAAGACTTGAATAGTGCAGAATGCGGACTGTTTTTATGCTGCCTTTCTATATCATAAACAAATATTTTAAATGTGCCCATTATTTGGGGAAATGAGCTACAATTGGCTTACTTAGAGTCATCATATACAGTATTTGTCCTTTTGCAGGAGCTTGACATCTATCTTTTTAAGGAATAGAGCTCCAATTGTGGAAAAGAGTATACAAATTATTTTGATGATGAAAAAGTAGTACAGTAAACAGTACTGTGAAATATATAATGTTACAATTTAAAATAGCTGTCTTCTATGCAAATATATAGTAAAATGTAATTTATTCCTGTGATGCGCAGCTGTATTTCCAGCATCATTACTCCAGTCTTCAGTGTCACATGATCCTTCAGAAATCATTCTAATATGCTGATTTGCTGATTATCAATATTTAAAACAGTTGAGTACATTTTTTTTCAGGA